GGACATTCTGTTAAGTGTTTTTACATGTGCAGTCTGTGTTTATCTTTAAGTCTGTGACTGGTTGCACATGCCCTAGGGCTTTTCTTAATTCTAATAAAATACTTTGCAATCTACCAACTGGTCTGAACCTAAACTGGAGCAGGCTGGGGTGAAGAACTACTGATAATTTGTTTTCTCAAGTTTCAGATGATAAATTGGGTGGATCTTCCACAAGAGCAGCAGTGAGCAGTTGGGCCAACCTTGCTTCCTTCAGTGCCGGGTGAGCACCACAGGAAAGTAGAAGGAAGCTCACTCAGCAGGACTTGGTTCAGGTCACAAGATTAGAAGTAACAGGTCATGACCAAAGCAGTGTAAACAACCCTATTTCAACTTGAGCAAGCATCCCTGTTTCAACTGCTGAGGTGTCTTACATGGGATCCCACCAACATGTCCTGACTGTTGAGGGTGAGGGTTCACACTGGCTTCTGGGCGCAGCCTCAAGCAGGCAGATATGAGAGGCTGGGGACTGACGATCCCCATCTCCGTAAGACAGTGCCATGCTCAGCAGACCCTCTGAGCTCCTACATACAGTCTCTCTGTGTAGCATGAAGAGCCTCATGCTCTCATGCCAGTGTTGCTTTAAGGATTTAGTGAAGCACTTGAGCACAGGCTCAGTTACCTTGAATTAAATCTCATGTGCTACTGGATCCAAACTTGATGTAATCCCTCAGCCTTGTAATTCCTCAGCTTCCAACAGGTTTCGGTGAAAGAGGAGGACACTGAGCACCTCAGGAAACAGATCATGCCTCAAAGGCTTGGCCTCTGCTTATGTAGCACTTGGTTCAGCTTCACCTCCATCAGCTGTTTGACCTGGGAGCTGAAGGGCAGCATTTCTTAGTGATGAACAACAGGTTGAAGTGAGGCAGAAAAATCTGTGATAAATGAGTGTGGGAAGTGTTAATGGGGCCAAATGTCCCGAGTTTATTGGATTAGGGAAGTCAAACTAATTTTAAAATTATGCCTGGAGAGTGGGAAACTGGCTATCGTTAGCCATTTATCTGACACAACAGAAAAGTCTTAATGGCTGTCATCTCGGCTCACTGGGAAAACACTGTCAAAGCTCTTGCTGACAAGATGCTTTCTCAGGGATTATTAATTATGTTGCATTATCAGCTAACCACAGGATGAGAACACGTTTCCCGTGTTAACTAAAGTGCAATGACCATTTAGCTAATAAGTATGACTCAGTCTTTTAAATTTTCTTAATGATTAGCAAGTTAGTAAAACTGTTACGCCGAGAGATAAAAACACCAACAAGCTGAGTCTCAAGAACAAGTCTGAGCTGGTGAGGACAGACAAAGTGTACAGTCCGAATTACCAGCCTGATGGAACAAGACAAAGTAAACATATCTGCAGATTTACAAACTCGTATGACCCCTTCCTGCATCCTCATGCACGGTAAAAGTGAGCTGGTGGTAGCTCAGCCCAGCCTATCAGCTTAATCCTTCCTACCCCAGCCCTGGTGAGGACAGGGCTTGCCGCAGCCTTCAGCAACACCCAGCTCTGCCCCTCCTGGCCCTGGCTGCAGCCTGCCCCGCTGAGCAGGATGGTTTGAAACATGCTGGGGTGAGCAGAGCATCGTCTCGGGGGAGATACACAAATAAATGAAATGTTGAGAGGAAAACGCACGGAGGCATGTTGTCCAGTTGTGGCCCAAGAGGGTCAGAGAGGGTCCCTGAGGGGAGGTCCCAGCCTGGAAGGAGAAGATTGACTTCCCTGCAAGGAAGCACAACCTGAGACAGCAGCAACTGAGCACTGAGTACATTTCATTAGCCCGTAGGATTCACAGAGTGCTGGCATCAGACTGGGGAAAAACCTAATTATTGGCCTGTGACGTCTGCCAGCTCTGAGACTCCTGCTTCAATCTACGTGGTCTTTGCTATAGCTCAGCCAAAAGCTTCACAGAGGTGTGGGGTGGAATGAGGAAAGAAAGCCTGATTAAACAGACACGCTGTCAATGGCTTTCGGCTGACAACTGTTTTTACAGAGCCGTTTTACTGAAGTGCCTCTGGCCCCCAGGCAGATCATCAGGGGTGTAGCTGTGGGTAACACGGGTGCCCTGGGCTCTGTAAAAGCCAGGTGCGTGCTGCACTGCACTAACTGGGTCAGGCTTTCTGTCATCACTCACCTGGTGACAGACCGGCAAACAAAGACTGGCTGCTCCCTGGTGCTAAATAAATGACCCCTCACTGCTGAGTTACTGACAGTGTCACTGATCGATGCCCTCGGGCATTAGAATGAAGCTCAGCAGAAGATTAGTGAAGCAGTTTTGGACAGCTTTGCTCACGTTAAACCACCTTTATGACCATTGTTTGGCTTGGGCTGGAGCAGTCCTGTTCGAATGGGCCAGGTGGCTCACAAGGACTGAGTGGGAATGTCCAGGACCCCAGTGCCAGCACCCTCTCCACCACCCTGCCTCTGCTCTCCCATACTCCCATTCCCAGAGGGAGTCCAGCCTGGCTCTGCCCTCAGGGTAGGGGTAAAGCCACTTTGAACCCCCCTTCTGTCCCCAAATGCCCATCGTGCCTGGAGAGACCCCAGCACCAAGTTTTAAGCAGCACCAGTGTCCATGGAAGCAGAGGTGTGTTTCACAGTGGGCTTTTACAGGTGGGTGCTGGGGTTGGACACTGGCACACCTCCAGTGAGGGTTCATCCCAACGCAGAGCCAGCTCCCACCAGCTCCAGGGCTGCCTCCCAACCCCACGGTCTCACTGCTGGACCATCCATTTCAATGGGCTTTAGCTGAGGGCTTGCACAGCCGCTACCACCCATGAAGCAAACACGTCCTTCCAGGACAATACCTCCTATCTGGGCTTGGACAAGTGTCTGAGATGTACAGAGTGAAAAAGGAAGAAACAGCACAATCCAACGCGTTCCAGAGATGTTGTTCATTGTCACCTTTATGTAACAGACATAGAAAACATTGCTGAAAGCAAGAAGCCATCCCTTTTTCTTTCCTTTCTTTACATTCAGACAATCCATTATAACATTTAACTAACTGCAGTAGGCACCATGGAGAGCTTCTGAGCCTGTCGCAGGCAGTCTCACCTGGGAGACCTGTTTGCAGCACGCAGACTGACGGTTCCACCCAGAGCCTGTGCCCCAGCTCTGCTGCTCTCCTCTGTGCACCCTGTTTCCCACACACCCTGCATGCCCTGTGCCAGTCCCAGCTCCCCCACTGCTGTAGCACATGACAGCACTGACCCAGTTCCCTCCAGTTAAATCCCAGCAGTCACTCCAGGGAAGCCTTTGGTGCAATCTCAGTGCCTCAGTGCACCCACTGGAGCCAGACGCTTGTCCCGGTGCACATTGTGGCTACACTTCCAATCACTTGGAAGAGACCAGAATTTGCTTTAGGGTCTTAATACCTAGAGACTAAAGTCTACAAAAGATAGAAAATCAGACACATAGAAAGGACCATGAACCTTCCCTACAAACAAACCCACAGCAGCAGCCTACCATCCTCCTTGGCCCACCTATTCTCATGCTTTTCTCTGTGTTTCACCCTCTGTTCCATTATGGTAAATGCTTTGCTGGCAGTCACAATGAGCTCGCAGTGACCAAGCAATGCTGGTGCTTCACCTCTAAATAAATAATTGTTTTCTATCCTGAGAAAGTTTCTAGAAAGTAACCTGGCATCACAACAAGGAACGTACAAATCTTAAAAGTCAAGCAAACAGAGCTCAGGCTTTACAATGATTCCACCATATCCCCCCAAAAGGGAAGGAAAATCCTTGCAGTATGATTTTGTCACATAAAAGTGTCTCACAGAGAAGCAAAACAAGCACAAACAAGGCTATAGAAGCAACACGGCCTCCTGCTTGCACATTGTCTTGGCTGGAGCACATCCAGCCAGCAAACCTGTAAATGGTGCCAAGTGGGAGTCAGATCAGTGGGGCACCTTCCAGTTAACCCTGCAACCCATTTCCCTGTTGGGTTGTCATTAATTGTTAGGGTGCAGACAGCCCGAGGCCTCGGCTGAAGCTGGAGCCTGTGGGTCTAAGCATTGTACAAAAGCAAGGGAAGGCAGACACGGAGAGTGGGGAGGGGCAAGGGGAGGTGACCTGAAGATGCTCACACCGTGGGAGGGATGGCAGCAGGACTGGACCCTCCCATCCTGGGGGCCAGGAGTGCCCAGGCCCACTGTGTGGTCAGTGGTATGCTGTGTCTTGTGCTGCAGCAGGGACAAGGAGGAAGGAGAGGCTTCCTGAGAGGAAAGGAGGTAAGTAGTCTGGTTGAAACAAAAGCAAAAAATACGCTCATCAGCCCAGCCAGAGTTTCTAAGATTCTCCTAAAAAATATTATGACTTGAGAAATCCGTCCAAGAAGGGATAGCATTTCCATAATGCACGGATAGAAGAGATTCTATCACGACCGATGCGGGTGGGATCCACCTTCTCCCTCTGCACAGAGAGGAGCAAGGAGGAGCTTGCCGAGCCTGACTTGCTCTGCACTGCGGGTGATCAGTGCTGTGTGCTGGTGGCACAACTGCACCGGCCGTTGGTTTCTGAAGGCGTCAGGTCACTCAGCAGGAGGAAGCAGCAAGCGTAGGACAAAAACGGTCAAAACACGAAGCTACAGCACCAGCCAGCCGCTCTTTCCTTCCTTCCAGCTGGGCGGTGGCCCTGCTCAGTGTACTGCTTTGCCAACAACCAGTAAGATCATCGTCCCACTGAGCTCTTCCCGTGGGCCGTGCAGACACGCTTGTAACACAGTCTTCCCGCCCGTTCCGTGGCTCTTCCCGCAGCCCAGTTGTCCCGAGTATTTCAGAGTCAAACACCAGGTTAGCACCTGCAGCTCAGAGGTGGGAGATGCAGCTGCCAGAAGGCATCTGATGGAGGGGTCCTCCTGGCCCGCCAGCTGCAAAGTTTTTGTGAAATGAGACTTTTGCCCAGCGTTCTTCACGTGGTGCCCGAAGGAGGCCCGTGCTCAGTCCCTCCTTTCTGGGTGTGTGGGGATGTCTATGCTTCCTCCCTGCCCCGCAGGTCTTCCAGCTCGGTCATGGCTTTGGCTGGGAGCTTCTTGCGGCGGAACACGGCTGCAATCTCCTCAAAAGACTTCCCTTTTGTCTCCGGGACTTTGAAGTACGCAAACAGAAAGAAGAGCAGAAGCAGAGCCGCGAAGATGGCAAACACGTACGGCCCACACAGATCCTGCCGTGAGAGGAGAGAGAAGAGGGGACACCACCGTCAGCACCGCAGGGATGGCCTCCCCTTCCTACCCTGCCTGGAGGAGGTGCCCAGCGGGGCTTGGGCTCCCACGGGGCTGCCCAGCGGTGGGGCCGTGCCAGTCGTTTGTTCGTCCCGTTGGAGAGGGCTTTCTTACCGCTATGTACTGGAAGCACATCCCCACGATAAAGTTGCAGGCCCAGTTGCAGAAGCCGGCGACGGCGATGGCGGGGGGCCGCGGGCCTTGGCTGAACAGCTCGGCCACGATGAACCAGGGGATGGGCCCCGGCCCCACTTCGAAGAAGATGACGAAGAGGAAGATCGCGACCATGCTGACGTAGCTCATCCAGGCAAACTGGCTCTGCAGGAGAGTGCGCTCAGGGTTACAGTCCCAGCACGACTCTCAGCAGTGATCACTAATTACTTTCATTAGGCTTCTTTTTTTTTTTTTTTTCTGAAATTTCTTTCTATTCAGACAAGTGGGGACTGGATCTGAATAATTAAAGCTCTAAACTCTTGTGCCAGGTGCTGGCTGGGCACATGGTGCCAGCATGGCCACTTGCAGAAGGTTGTTGGAGCTCACAGCTCTCAGCTCAGCTGTCCCTTTGAACCCTCTCCTTGCCTGCAGCGTGGCAAGGAAGAGCCAAAATGGTGTTGTCTTTAATGACTATGGTGTTCAGTAAAAGAAGCCACCCCTTATTTGGTTGTACATCCTGACATGGGCTTGCACCAATGGTTTGGACTGACTTTGATGTGGACCAGCTCCATCATCTGCCCATGTCTCATAGCCTGACGCCTCTCCCGGGTGTCAGAAGGAATCAGTTCTCTCTTTTTGGCTAGCCTAGCATCCCTACACCAAGCCAGGGAGATGCAGTTTGAGGGTTTAGAGCACACACTGCTTGCATGTGGAGATACCCCCTGGGATTTCTTAGCAGGCATGGGATTATTCCAGGGGAATAGGGCATTTGCTCTCTAAGGGGTTGAGGTTGTCAGTGGGCTCAGGGAGGGGACAAGGGACACAACGACCTTTTCAGCAGCACTGGGATATCTCAGGGACCAAAGAGCACAATGTGCTCGGGCACTGCTGTAACTGGATATGGCTCCAGCTATGGCCACTTTGAACTATCCCTTTCAAGAACAAACGCTTTCTAAACTTCTTTGAGATGAAAATGCAAAACATTCACTTTAAAGAGCGATTTGCAAACCATGGAGAAAAAAAATGGAGAGAAGTCCTTACCAGGAGCACAAGTCCAACTGTCATGGCCACAGCGCTTATTAACATGCCCATCAAACCAGCCAGGAACAGGGACCTCCTGCCCGCCTTCTCCACCAGAAAGACCTGCAGAAACACGTGCAGCAGCTCAGTCTCCAGCACCACTGCTCTCAGGAGGTTCCATCAGGTCCATTAGCTATGAGCTACCACACCGCACTCCCACTCTTTTAACTCCCCTGGTAGAGATTCCTGTGCTGGTTTCCACATGTCAGAAGCTCTGCTGGTGGCTGTCAGGGAGTCAGACTGAGCAGCCACCCTGCCGAGGGCAAGGCAAAACCACATGTACTCAGAGCTCATGCATTTCTAATCTCTCGGGACTTCCCACTGCTCCTACACATGTATTGCTGACTATGGAGTTGTTTTTTTCCCCCCACCCAGGAAGATCCAGCTTACCAGGTCTTCATTGGTTTGGAAGCAGCCTTCAAAATGTAGAGTGATTTGAGTCACACCATGGGCCCCTGCAACTTGCCTGCCCTAGGGCAGGGATAGTTGTATAGCAGCTGGAGTCAGGAGTTTTCCTCAGGTTCCTCCCAGACTCCTTTTGCTTCTGCTTTCCTGGTAGCCATGAAGCTTAGCTTGCTCCTCATCAACTCCGCTTGGTGGACTCTAGTCATCTCACCCAATTTTTGACACTTAAGTCTGTACCCATCTCTTCACCCAACAGGGGGATGTAGGTATCTCCAGAGGACAGTGCATCTTGGCCTCCCCTAATATACTGTGCACCAGCCTCTGAGGCTGCCTGCTCCTTCCTCTTCTGCTCAAAAGGACACCTTTGGCCACCAGCTCAACCTTTCCTGCCACTGCAGCAAGAGATTTATGCATCCATCTCTTTTGCTGGAGGCAGTTCATCCAGCTGCAGAGGCTGAGCCTCCGTGCTGCCTTCTCCCCTTGCCAAGGTCCACCCAACCGTCGGTGCTTCTGCCTTTTGATCGGGGTCTGTCATTTATTGACAAGTACAGGGAATTTTTAAGTGCTCATGGCCAAAAAGAAGCAGAGAGCAAATGGCCCAGGCCTGAAGTTCCACAGCTCCCCGGGTGGAGACGGAACTGCAGGAGGCTCTCCAACCTGGAGCAAGACCTCTTCCAGCCGCACACCTCCGTGCCTCATTTTGGAATAAATACCATGTCTTCTCCTCTTCACAGGACCTGTGATGGACTTAATCTAAAGCAGGTTCACCCAAAGACCTCTTATCTCATACATGTGAGACTAAGATCTCTTGGAGCTGTGTATTTCTACCTTGCAGCTAGTCCTGGGTCACGGTGGGTAGAAGTCCTTTGCTCCCTAAATCTGGGGAGATGTGAGGGAAATGGACTTGGCATTTCCTGATCTATTAATGACCACATTAAGAAAATAATTGCCTGCTGATAGGAATTGTGTTAATACTCTGAGGAGAGACACAAAGAAAGGGAAAGGCTGGGAGCACAGACCCATCCTTTTATTGCTGCATGGATGGGATTGGGGTAGGGGATAGATTACTTTTACGATGGGGAATAGCCTTTGGGTATCACTCGTGCAGGTGCTGTGTACACACAGAAAACAATCGGAAAGGTAACAGCTCCTAGGAGACTGGGAGCTACTGGCTTCCCAACCCCAACCCCCTGCCAGCTCCCTGAGGGGCACAGCACCTGCAGGACTCCAGTCTCGACAAGTCTCATCTTTTATTTGGGGGGGAAATGGTGAGCTGCCTGTGCTTTTCCAAACGAGACTTACCCAGGGAATGGTTTTGCCTGTAAGGTGTGTAGGGTCAGCCCTACAAAGCCACAAATCCCAGCCCCGGCTCCAGGATAAAATCACATTTCCAAACCGCACTGTAGCTTACGTGGTTTTGTAGTCTGGGGAGCAGAAGTATTTACTCACGGAGATAACAGTGAATACTGTGTTCACCACTCCAACGCCAATGGTTGCGTAAACTGGTTGGCCAACTCCAGCTCTCTCGAAAATGTTTGTGGAGTAGTAAAAGATCTATCAAAATACATTAGGATGAAGGATTAGGCAACAGAGCTGGTGAAACTTTTTGTTCTCTTGAGGGAAGAGTTGCACTTGCTTGGCTGAGATGTGAAGTAATTGAATTATGATTTGGTTTTCAACTTCTAATAGCTTGTTCTAGTAATTAAAGCTGAAACTTCCAAAGCAGCCTCAGAGAGTTAAAAATCCCATTGAAATTCCCCTCCTGAGCTACCATGTTTGCACATTTAAAGCTATTTTCTTCCACGTAGTCCTGTGTTTAATCTTGAAAGCCAGATGACCAGCACCGAGTGCTGGAGACAAATACTTCAATATGACAGAGTTTTACACGAATTTTAAAACTTTCTCACTACATTGGAATGACTCAAATTTCTCCCTTCTCTCCAAGAGTAAGGTGATTGCTGCCTGGGGGAAGTTAAGGGCAGGAGGTAGAGCATCTGACCCCGTGGCTGGTGGATGGGGCTGAGCACAGCCCCGAGCTGGGGCAGCTGGGCTCCGTGGGGTGCTCAGCCCCATGCAGCTGGGCTTCCCTGAGTCCTGCTCCACCTTGTGATGTGGAAATGCTCGTGGAGTTTTGAAAGCTGCTGGGACAGAGGCCCTAACCTCTGTAAAGTTGTCATCAGACTTTCAAAAATGTGAGTCAGTCAGTTTTGAGAAGGAGGCTCCATAGTCATGGGAGCTTCGTGCTGAACTCCCTCCTACCCTTCTCCCCTCCTGCCCTCCCGCTGCCCAGCTCAGTGGGGAGGCCTACCTTCAACACTGACGGTGGTGGCTGAGGAGCCTAATGCAGTCATGGGCAAACCTTCTCTTCACCCCTACTTGGCTTGGATGGAGCCAGCACTGCCTTTGCATGCTCAACGTGGCTGTCTCTAAAGGCAGACACCTCTGGGCGACTCACCGCATTGATTCCTGAGAACTGCTGAGATATCTGCACCATCAGCGCCACGATGACAGCTTGCCTGTACTTTGAAGAGGTGAAAAGCTGCCTTATGGAGACTTTCTTCTCACTTGCAGCTTCTTGCTTCTCCTTTTCCATCTCAGCAATCTCTTTCATTGGGTCACAGTTTCCTCTGAGCCTTTTCAAACCTTAGGGGGAAAAAAAAAAATCATAATTTTGTTTTCAAGAAGGGATAGAGTAAGGACAAGAATCTCTTTAGCCAAAACACAGCGCAAGCCAACCACATGGACACTGGTGTCCTCCTGCTCTGAAGACTCCTGTGGCCCATGAAGCTCCAAAAGTGTGTCTGCTTGGCAAGGAGCAGCAGCCCATTAATTCTGCGAAAGCTCTGAGACACCAGGCTCAAGCCCTGTCCCTCAGCAATGCTTAATAGTCTCATGCAAATGTGTCTAAATAGCTTCTGGTCCAGAGCTAATTTATACGTCAGCAGCTCAGGGTTTCTTAGCTCAGTTTCAGCTGAGTCCTACCATTGAGTGCTCTTCCTTCTTGCAGAGACAGCTGGATCCAGCTAAGGAGGATGGAAGATGGATACACTGGAAGATGTATAAGTGGTTGCAGTAACCACGGTGGATTTGCTGTGTAGTTGCAAGTAGCAGTGAGGACAGAGATCAGCTGTCCCGCCAGAAGATGCCATTTTTGCTCCTGGTTGAAATACCTTCCAACTGAATGGGTTTTGGGGAGTGGCATCTGCTCAGTGCGACCTCTCTGATGGAATGGAGTAAGATGCTAAGGCTCACGCCACTCGCAGTGACACAGAAGCAAGAGTGCGTTAGTCAGGCACTGTATGCAAGCCTCCAAATTCCCACCTGCAAGTGTGCTGCATGGGTTGGAGCAACAGTACCCAGTTACACGTGTGAGCCCTCAGCCGGGTATTCCCTCCTGTGTTTAACACTAGGTCTAGTGTAAGAACAACTCCACGCAAGCCCAGAATGTGTCTCACTTTTTTTAGCTTCTTCCACCTTCCCCAGTTTGATGTAAAGGTATCGGGGGCTCTCGGGACAGAGTAGGAGCAGGAAGAACTGCAGGAGGGCAGCCACACCAGACAGACCGAGGAGCAGGGGCCACATCTCATCGTTGCCCAGGAGAAAGTCCAGTCCAAGGACCTGGAATGATTGAGGCATGTGTGAAAGGCTTATTTTGCACCCTAGAAAAAGAGAACGATTGACCGCTGTGGCATTTTGGAGTGACAACCTGGAGCAAAGCTAGAAGCAAATACCAGTTCTCAGTCCTAACAATTTGATTTCTTTAGTTATGATGCACATTTACAAGGGGCAGAGCCTGGGTGGAGGTGAACGCAGCTCAGGTTGCCCCAGCTGCCCAGCCACTAACCAGCACAGCCTGAGCCCCGGGGCTGCAGCACAGCATGAGCTTTTGGCTGAATCGCATTCAACAAACTTTGTGGTTACATGAAGTTTTTCTGGATGTGTTGGTTCTCAGCACATTTATGTGCCCATCTGTCACGCTGGGCAGTGCTGACGGGGATGCTGGGATGAAGCCATTTTTGAGTACCTGAATATCAAGGATCTTGTGTTCACGCTCCAGCCTGCCTCTGATGAGATGCTTATGAAAACTCCCTAGAAGAGGGGTGAAACTATTCACAGAAGTATTTTTCATTTCATGACAAGTCATCTTTGTCAAGACTCCTCTGACTCAAGGTAGGGGCTTAACCGTGTTAGAGCAGATTGCTTTGTGCTGTCCTTCAGTTTTGGGTAGGAACGGTGAGCAGCACTGCAGCCTGTCACTGGGAGATCCCTCATCTCTGAAATACCCTCTCCGGACTCCTGTGCCTGCCTTCTTACCTGGCTGATGAGGATACCCGTGACGATGGCAAGCTGGTGCAACGTCCCCAGAGCTCCCCGAAGGGCGGTGGGAGAGACCTCGCTGACGTACATGGGCACGAGTCCGGAGGAGAGCCCTGTGCCAAGCACACACAGGTCTCACCCCTTCTGGACCACAGCTCAGTAACCAGGAGAAACTGCTTCCCAAACGGGAAAGGAGGATGGAGCCTGCATGTTGCATCCCAAACCCCTTGCCTGATCAGGTGGTGCCTGGCTGGGAACCACCTAACCCCTGCAAAGCTCCTGGGCTAACCCCAGATTCAGAGCCCTGGGCTGGGAAGCCTTTACACTTGAAAACACACACAGGGACATGGAGTAGGGGTCATTCTCTGGGAGAAGTTATCACAAAACAAAGACTTTTCTTAAAACTTGCCTTGTACCTTCAGAGCAGAGTGTTGTATTTGCACACCAGTAACAGTGATAATGAGCTGTTATTTCTAAGCTAATTCTAATGCAATTCCATATTATTTGACTAGGATCTTATCTTCACCATGTACAGTTCTCCTGCACTATCTGCTAGATAGGACTGTTGCCTAGGGAACCTGCTAAACAGCACGGCTAGTAACATTCTGTCACAACAGCCACCACAGAGATCGAGCCTTGAAATGCAGAGTAGGGACACACTCCTTTCTGGGCCACACAAAATAAACCCATTTCATCATAGAGCCAACCCAAATACTTCTGGGAAGGACCTAGGATCGAGAAGGACAGAGACAAGGAGAAGAGGGAAACGCCGACTTGTGAGACTCCTTTGGGGCGAAAAGGAAGAGATGAAAAAATACAGGAAAGTCTTAACTGCAGCCCTGGAGCAGCCAGCACCCAGCACCAGGCTGCTTTGCAGCGCTCGACCCTGCCTGGACTTACCACAGTACAGCCCCGTGACGGCTCTCCCGGCAATGATGAGCACGTGGGATGGCCCGAATTTCGCCAGCCCCATGAGGAGGTTCCCGGCGATGGAGAGCACGTTCACCACCAGCATGGCTTTCACCCTGCAAGGCAGCAGCAGTTCGGGCACCTCGCAGCCAAAGCGGCCGTCATGATACGCGCTCGGAGCTGCTCAGTGGCTCAGTCAGCACTAACGGGGACAAACTAATGACCTGAGGCGCTGAAAAGTATCGGGCAGGGATTGCCATCAGAGCAGCCAAACGTAGATTATACAGCCTGTTCCAACACAGTTTGGGTGCCCTTCTGCCATGGAAAGAAAGGGGGGAATTGAATGGCTCCTTCCAACCCAAAACTGTCTGTGACTCTCAGAAGTTAATCAAGGCTGCTCACCAGCTGCTTGTCTGAAGTGCTAAGAGTTGCAATAAGACATCAGATTCCTAGCTGAGGATTTTAATAAGCCAGACCTCTGTGATGGTTGGGTCAGTATTTTGCAGGTTTGGGTTTTTGTTGTTTTTTTTTTTTTTTCATTAAACAGTGGAAAATAACACAAATTGTATTTCTACGGGAAGGAAAGGGTTCTAGGGGAGAAATCAAGCAAAAAGACTGGGGCTGTGGCAGGTTAGACCCAGCACACAGGGTCCCCTCACCTCCCCAGGCGGTCGCCGATCCAGCCGACGGTGAAGGAGGAGACCATGCCGCCGATGGCGAACACGGAGACCGAGAGGGACCAGTACATGGTGAGGACGTGCGTGGCAGCCAGGTCCCCGCTGCTGCTGGCCGGGGGTGCGAGTGTGCCCTCGGGGCCACCCCAGGGCCCTGTGCCGCCCTCCGTGGAGGCGTTGGTGGCACGTCTGTCTGGGGGGGCAATGCCCAGCACACGCCCATAGTGAGCTTCTATCACCTGCAGTGGGCCAGGAGGAAAAACGCCGTCAGCTCAGATCTGTAACAACCCACAACACACGGTTTGGTGTTTTGTCTTTTTCTTTTTTTTCTGCCCCAGGAAAAGCTTTTCATCTCAGGCTCTGCAGGGGTGAAATCTTGGGGTCCTTCACAGCTCCCCAGCACCCAGACCCCCTAAGCGGCAGGAGACCATGCGGGCAGGTGTGGAGCATCCCCCCATGTCCCACACCACCTCCTGGGGACAGAGTGAGCACTGTGTCTGGGTTTGGCACCCACAGAGAGGTGCCATCCCTCGGTCTGGGCACAGGGACCATGCTGGGGATGGCACCACGGCATGCAGAGCCCCATTCCTTTCACGGGGGGTGGCAGTGGGAGGGGTCCTCACTGTTGTCTCAGCCCGCTGCCTTATCACGGGGGCTTTGTACAGCGGGAGAGCGTGCCTGGGGAAGGGACAGAGCCCTCCTGAGGGCTTCTGCAAGGGACAAACCAGCCCTGGCTGCCCTGAAGCCCCCGTCCCTTGGCTTGGGGGGGCTCAGCTTACCTTCTGGGGGGCGTTAATGACACCCAGGCTGTAGCCGTACTGGAAGAAGCCCAACACCGCAGTGAAGACGGAGAGGACCAACGTTCCTGTCAGGTGCTGGGGGAGGAAGCACACCTCACCTTGCTGGCCTAGACCTGCCCAAACCTGGGGGGCTGTGCCCCAGCCCTGTCCCAGGCACTCTGGCTGGCTCCCAAGGAGAAGGGGAAGCTGCTGAGGGTGGGTAGGACCAGGCCCTCAGCAGCCGGTGCTGGGGCTGGGGGTCTCCCCGCTGCACTCCCGTCCTCGCCCCGGTGCTCCCGGGGGGTGCAGCTGCCCCATCCCCATCCCGTAGGCAGAAGCAGAACAACCAGGAAAAAAAACAGGCAAAATGGTGCTTTTCAGCAGTGTTGTTTCAATTATTATTTCCCACCATCACCATTAAAATTATCTGGTGAGCTGATGGAGCTCTTGAAAATAAAAGATAATCCCGTGACCGCTTTGCCCCTGTACTCAATATACAGACACCAAAGAGCAATTCATGAGGGGAGGGGATTTTTTTTTTTTGGTGAGTTTTGGCCTTGGCAAGCAATAAATGCCATTGCTCAGTGCTGGTCTCACACAGAAATTCTAGTCCAAAACCACCACCAAGCCACAGTTACCTTCTCTGCTTGCATTTTGCTTTTCTTGTCCATCCTGCAGCTCCTCCGCTGTCCTCCCCGGAGCCGTCACTGTCCCAGGCTATGGGGTGAGGTGGGACCTTGGGCAGGGAAGGAGGGACAGCAGGGCAGGGATGGAGGCAGGAAAACTGGCTGGTGCTCTGAGAGATGGGACTATATCACCTCTGGAGTTAATGAGAAACCCAAGCCTTCCGTGCGTTATTTGGCCGCTACTCAGCACAGAGCAGCCACTACCAATCCCTCTATTTGGGGCTCAAACCAAACACCGTGAGACCCGCAAGGACATCGAGTGGAGCTGGGAAATTCAAGTGATCCAGCTGCAAGGCTGGTCGGGGCTGTCCCTCAGCTGCCCGGCCTGCAGGATGACATGCCAGGGACTTGGGAACACGCTGCAGCCTCTTTCAAGATGTCCAACACCTTTCTTGGCTTCTGCGAGGGGTTTATGTGCTACGTTATGAATCTCCTACAATAAGAAACCTTTCCAGCGTGTGTAGCAAAGAAGCTAGAAAATGACTAAGAGTGTTTTATTTCGGTAGCACTTGGCACCTGCTTTAAGATATATTTATGTGTGTCCATAAGGTACACAGCCAAACATACATAAATACAGATTTACGCAGGTCTCTAGAGGCCCATAAATCACACAGGCACCAATTGCTGTGCTGTCAGATATTCCTAGTGCTGTCAAATCCTACTGATGCTGCCAAACACCTCAGCCCTTTGGCTCGGCTCCCTCTGTAGCGATGAACTTTGCACATCTGCAGAAGCTGGTCTGAGCTGGTCTCGCGCGGGTTTGCTGTCCTTGGTGTTGTCAGTGAGAGGAGCGGAGGGCATTCGTAGCTCACATGCCAAAGTCTGAACCAGTCCAGAAGGTGATTAATGCTGATTAATGCCACTACCTTTCAGATAAGTCCCTGATGGGTCAGCAGCCAAGGTGGGTGATGCTCTCAGTCAGCCAGGCTGCACATGGACATAAAATGTGCTTTCTACAGAGGCAAAAAAAAAAAAAAAAGATGAGTGTAAGACCACTAATCTTTGCACTGGTCTCCTCCAGGGAAGTAAAACTTTAACTGGAGGAGAAAAGTTCATCGCATTAATGCAGGCATTGATTCCAGCCTCAGCACCTGCATTCCTCTCTTGGGCCGGTGTAGCTGCGAGGGGGAGGGCCCCAGGGCTCAGCTTTTTGAAGTTTTCCCCAATATTTGTCCTTCCAGGTGAGCTCTTTGCCCATGGTGTTTGTTTGCTGGCTGTGTGGATACCGAGGCATTTACAAGGGCCGTTTCTTTGCATTGTGTTTAAATGCCTCCGCACTGGGGGGGATGGCAGGATGAGACAATTAACAGGCTGCTCAACTTTGAGTCGGAAAACAAATAGCCCTGAGCCGATGTCCCAAACAAACCCTTGGGCGCTGCAGAACTCCTGTCCCGGCCCCACGTCCCCCTCCGGGATCCCCATCCCATTGCACGTGCCTGGCTGAGGGAGGATAATGCTTTTCCCCTGCTCTTCCCAGCCCCCGGGAGGCAGCTGGGGGGGTCAGAGGCCATCTCCATGCGAATGGAGAGAGCAGGGTGGCCTTTCTGCAGCTGTCCTCCCTGCTGCCGCTCACACTTACACAGCAGAACTCTCCCTGAATTTGGCTTCCTGTGGGGAGAGTGCAGAGAAGCTGGGGCAGCAGTCAGGAGGCGACTTCCATGGAAATCTTGAATGCCAAAGGCTGGAAGCCCCACGGCCACCAGCCTCCCACAGCCAGCTCTGCTGGCAAAAGGCATGGAGCTATGTGGGGCTCTCCCATCCCTTCCTCTTACCCGCTCTGCCGGGCTGGATGCTGCAAGCTGGTGCCAGCTGGGTGGTGACACCCTCCTCCAGAGCTTTGTCCCCGGGCAGCTCAAGCACATGCTTACCTCTTGGTGACACAAACAGGTTCAAGCATGATCAGCCCCCCACATCTCCTGCGTACGTGAGAGAGCCACAGGCCGTAGGGTGCAGCTCTCCGCACAGTGCAGCTCAGGAGCAACACGGACCTGGCCCTTGGCTGGTGGAGCCTTGCCAGGCAGCACTTCAGTGATCTGACCAAGGGCAAGGGGAAGGTGGCATCTTCCCTGCAGGGCCAACTCTGCCATACTCATCCTCACCCTCAGTGGGACACACCCCTGGGCTGATGCCAGCCGAGCTGCTCAGCTTGTCACCTGGTGCCTGCTGGCTGGAAAAGAAGTGATCCACAAAACCAGAGGAGGCCCCAGAGTAGCCCTGGTGCAGGGACTGTCCCTTGTGCCCCTGGGGCAGCTCAACCACAGATTCATCCCACAGCTACTCCGGGAACATGGTGTGATGCAGAGGGAAAAACGCACCCGACAAACATGGGTCTGCTCGCCCGTGGGTGAGTGCTGCCATGGGGCCAGGGGATGCCAGACTGAGGAGATCATGACCATGCCCAGACAGAAATACCAGTTGAGAGTGATAGAATTGAAGGACTGTTTAGGTTGGAAAAGACCTTGAAGAGTCCAACCGTTACCCCAGCACTGCCAGGACACCACTAAACCATGTCCCTCAGCACCACATCTCCACGGCTTGGAAACCCCTCCAGGGATTGGGACTCCACCACTGCCCTGGGCAGCCTCTTACAGGGCTTGACAATCCCTTCAGTGAAGAATTTTTTTCTAATGGCCAACCTAAACCTTCCCTGGTACAACTTGAGGCTGTTTCCTCTTGTCCTATCACTTGTTACTTGGGAGAAGAGCCTGACCCCCACCTGGCTCCAGCCTCCTGTCAGGGAGCTGTTGAGAGCTAGAAGGTCCCCCCTGAGCCTCCTTTTCTCCCAGCTAAACAACCCCAGGTCCCTCAGCTGATCCTCATCAGATGTCCTCTAGACCCTTCCGCAGCTTCGTTGCCCTTCTCTGGACTCACTCCAGCCCCTCAAGGTCCTTCTTGGAGTCAGGGACCCAAAACTGAACCCACTATTCGAGGTGTGGCCTCATCAGCACCGAGTACAGGAAGACAATCCCTGCCCTAGTCCTGCTGGCCACACTATTTCTGATCCAAGCCAGGATGCTGGTGGCCTTCTTGGCCACCTGAGCACACTGCTGGCTTTTCTTCGGGCAGCTGCCAACCTACAACCATTTCACTGTTTTCAGGACAGCAGCACACACCTCACTGCTGGTCAGTGCTTTGCCCAGTGCGGTGGGGTTCTGTGGCTTTTCTCCAGGGCTCCCAGCAATGACTTGCTCCAAACTGCTCTGGTAGCTTTGCTTTGCCCGACTTCTGATACAGGAATCCCAGGAATCCCCAAACAGCACCTGATGCAGGGTGACTGCACCTTGTAGAGTGAATCCTAACGTTTTGGGATGGGTGTCGTGTACGTTATCTGCAAGCAGCAGCGCTTGTCTCATTGCTAAGGCTTTATTTTAAAGTGCACGAGCTGCAGTGGGGCTGTTGGGCAGAACCACCGTGCTCACTGCCTGCTGCCCCATCTGTCTGCAAGGGTTGGTGCTGGTGCTAAATCTCACCCGAAATGACGAAAGCAATGGGCTGAAGTTTGTGGCTGGGCTTTGCTTTTGAATAATTAACCACGCTGTCACACCAGTGGAAGGGGTTTAAAGATCCCATAAGGAGAGTGAGGTTGTCTCTGGGGCTGGGGTAATTTGCACACCCGTTTTACTGCCTTTGGGTCATCCAGAGGCAGCTTTGGTGGTAAAAAAAAAAAAAAAAAAGGAAAGAAGAACTGAAACAAAAATGAACATCCAGACCATAATATAACTTGGGGGTACTGGTGGATGAAAGGTTGGTCATTAGACGACAAGGCCCAGAAGCCCCCCGTGCCTGGGGCTGTCCCCCCAGCAGCGTGGGCAGCAGGGCAGGGAGGGGATCCTGACCCTCTACCCACCTCTGGGGAGCACCCCCCTGCAGTGCTGGGGCAGCTCTGCAGTCCTCGGCACAGCAGAGCCAGGGACCTGCTGGGGCGGGGCCGGAGGAGCCCCAGCAATGCCCCGAGGGGGGAACCCCTCTGTGGCTGGGGCAGCCTGCAGGGAGACCTTCTGGGGGCCTGCCAGGACTTCAAGGGGCCTGCCAGAAAGCTGGGGACAGACTTTTTAGCAGGGTCTGATGGGACAGGACAAGGGGGGATGGTTTGAAACTAAAAGAAGGAAATATAAACTAGATATAAGGAAGGAATGTTTTCAAGTGAGGGTGGTGAGAGCCTGGCCCAGGTTGCCCAGAGAGGTGGTCGATGCCCCATCCCTGGAACCATTGCAGATGCGGTTGGCATGGGCTCTGAGCAATCTGCTCTAGTTGCAGATGTCCCTGCTCAGTGCAGGGTGGTTGGACTAGATGGCCTTGAAAGGTCCCATCCAAACCAGAACATTCCATGATGCTACAAGTCCATAGGGCTGTGGCTCTGCAGGTCAAGAGCAGGCTGATGAGAGGCACATCAGAAGCTAGTGCAAAAAGAACATGCTGGATGTTTATTTTCCTCCCTGTGCCCAGCAGCCAGGGCAGGCAGCAGTGCTGGGGCCACCCGTGGGACGAGGGCTTCAACCTGGCAGAACATTCACAGGAGAATTTGGTGCATTTACAGCACGGTTATAAAAATACCGGCATGTTGGCCTTGTAGCAAAAACCAGCGGCATCCTCTTTCTGACCCAAAATACCTAATAGGATTAACCCCGAAGCCATCTCACAACAAGAAAAATGCCAGCTGCTAATCCAACAGGTTTGAAAACATCTGACTCCCACGAGCAGCTGCTACAGGCTTACCTCTGAGCATCCTTTCCCTTGGGTTGGGCACCCAGCATCTCCCCAGTGTCTGCAGCCTGCTGGGGCTGACCTCACACCAGCTCTTGGGGCTTCTCTTTTGTTTACCACAGAGGGTAGAACCTGGCCCTGAAGTTCATGCAATATTTCACAGCAGTTCTGTGAAGAATTGAACCTGCAACAGGCTCAAGTGGCTCCTCCATGCAATAATTTCTCTTTTTCTTCCTGCATCATGGCTCAGATGAAAAAAGCAAGTTTCCTTTCCTGTGTCA